TATAAACTTTTACCTTAAATTGAAACCCAAAATTTTTTTAGGGTAGTGAAAATTTGAGAATTTCTTAAATATTTCATTTGCACGAGAATTTTTCCGGTCGGGACCATTTCGCGTCACGCATAATGCCACGGTACAATACTTATAGTCAATTAAATATAATTATATTTCTCTCCCAATATTATAGATTGTTCAATGAATGAAAAAGGTTTTTTCTTACAATATACCTATATAGACACCAGAGAAAAAAAAAGTAGATTCTATTTCGTAAAACATTTTCAAAAAAAAAAAAAAAAATTCATAAAAAATAATGTAAATTTTATCAAAAAATAATAATTGCACTTATTATAATTATAAATTTTTTCCCTTATATCTCAATTTTCAATTCATTAAAAAAAAAAAAACTGTTTTTTATTTGTTTTTAATTTTTCTATTTTTTTTTTTTTTAATTTAAAGTTTTGAAAATTAAAAAAATATTTTTAAAAAATTTTTCATTAAATATTACAATTATTTTTTGAAATTTAAAAAAAAACTGTTTATTCGGAAAACTTTTTTTTGGGAAAAATTTCTTAATCAAAAAACAATTATTTTTTATTAATTAAAAATTTCTGAATCGAAGAAATAATTATTTTTTATTAATTAAAAATTTTTTTAAGCGGAAAATAATTATTTTTTAATAATTAAAAATTTCTTAATCAAAAAATAATTATTTTTAATTAATTAAAAATTTAGTAATTTAAATTTATTAATTAAAAATTTATTAATTAGTCATTTGACATTAATTTATTCTTTTAAATTACTAAAAAAAAAATTCAAAACAAATTTATTTTCTAAAAAAAAATCACTTTGAAAACGTAAAAATTGATACGCAAAAAGTAGATTATCTTTTATTTTTTTTTCCCCCAATCATTAATGCACGAAAGAACAATGAAAAAAAAAATAAAAAAAAAAATTGCAAAACATTTTTTATAGCGTTAAAGATAAAAAAAACAATTTTTTCAAAATATTCGTTTGCTTATTATAAATATAGTTAAATCAGTAGTTTAGATTTTGAAATAGAAAATAATATATATATACGTTTCAAAAAAATTTATCTCTAAGAAATAAAAAAAAAAAAAAAAAAATTCTCCTTTTTTCTTATATATATTGTTTTCTTTCTTTTTTAGAATAAATCTTTTGTTACTTCGTTAATAATAATAAATCTTAAGGCGCAGAACATTTATAAGATAAATTGCAGGGTAGATCGCGAGCGCGCGCACTCAGAATATTTCTACTTTATTTAGGGCTAAAAATTAAGTAATAAAAATAAAGTATAAAAAAAAAAAAAAATGAAATGAAAACAGTTAAACGAAAATATTTCCGACCGTTTGTCATATATATATATAAAAATAAATATATTAACAATAATGAGTAGTGACAAAAGAAGCAAAAAAAAAAAAAAAAAATGAAAATATTTATTCCCCCTTAAATTTTCAAATTTTGGAAAATTTAATTTTAAAAAATCATTGCCAGTCAAAATTGTAAAAAAAAAATTAAAATTAATTTTTTTTAAAATTATTATATACATTTTCAAAACTTAGAAAAATTTATAAAAAAAAATCATAGATAATTTTTTTTTTCTAATTATTATCATCGTTATCTGAAAATTATAATTTTATTTATTTATTTATTTAATTTATAATATTCGTTTTTTTTCGTCCAAAGTGAAGATGGAAAAATAAATTTTTTTTCCCGACGAAAAAAAAAAAAATATAAAAATATAATCGAAACCAAGAAAGAAAATTGGATATATAAAGACAGGAAACGAGAACGAATGTTAACGAGTCAGATAATAAGAATTCTTTTTTAAAATAAAAAAAAAATATTCATCAAACGAAACAATTTTTTTTCTCTTTTTTATAATCATTATGATTATTATTATTATTAATAATAGTATTTGAATTCCTTTTTCCAAATGTAAAATATATACATAAATATAAATATATATATATATAAATACATAGAAGAAAATATATATCTCACTCGAAGGTTGCTTTGCTTTTACTAAATGAGAGGAGAGAAAAAAAAATCGAGAAAATGAAAAAAAATTTGTGTGTGCATTAAGTTTTGAAAAAAAAAAAAAAAAAAAAAAAAAAAATGAAAAAAATTGACAGAAATATGGAATGTAAGTGTGCGAGCAAGAGAAATTAATAAAAATAAATAAATAAATAATAATAATAAATTGTATTACGTTAAATGTTGTTAGGTTATAAAAATATAATAAATGTTACAAAAACAACAATGCTGTATGTATGTATAAGAGAAAATATTACTGTAGTTACAAAAAAAAAAAAATAAATAAATAAAATGATGATTGTACTATACATATAATGATTGTTGAAATTTATTTTATTTGAGATTTTTTTTAAATTTTAATTTAATTTTTTATTTATTATTTAATTTTTTATATAACTTATTACTTAATTTTTTATTTATTATTTAATTTTTTATTTAATTTTTTATATAATTTATTATTTAATTTTTTATTTATTATTTAATTTTTAATTTTTTATTTAATTTTTCATTTACTTCTTTTATTTTCCAATTTTTTAAAATAATTTTTTTTTTTAAATCAGGAATTTTAAATGACGATTTAATTTATACTGACAAATTTTTTATTCAGTATTAATAGTATTAATAATAACAATAACAATAACAATAACAATAACAATAGAAAAAATAATAATAATAGTAGTACCTAATAATAATAATAAGAAATAATTTTAAAAAATTATAAAAAATATATATATAGGTAATAATAAAAAAAAATATTAAAAATATTAAAAATAATAATAATGATAATAATTTGTAAACATTATAATATATACGTAACTAGCAATACGTAAATGTAAATTGATGAAAATATAATAAAATTCTAAGATAAACGTCATATTTGTCGAATTATAAAAATTTAAATTAACGTCAATATAAAAAAAAAATATATAGAATGAGGTAAAATATCTAGAATGACGTAAAATAAATATTGTGTTATCAAATTAAAGAATAGACAACTTTTTTACGCATTTGAATAAATTTAATAAATTACGTAAATCGAAATAAAAAAGATCACACCATAAAAAAATGTAAATAAAATTTTTCATTGTTCTTTTATATTTATAAAAAAAAAAAGTTAAAGGGATTTTAGTATAAATGCCCTAAATCAAATCAGTAAATTCACAGTTTCAAAACTCTCTCTCTCTATCTCATTCAAGTTAACAAAACTTAATTCAATCGTTGGTAAGAAAAAAATTTTATATAAAATAATTTTTTACATAAAAAAAAAAAAAGTCTTTCTCTTGTTTTTAAATTAAAATTTTAAATTCAATAAATTTGAAAAAAAATTTCATTAATATAATTATTATAATTATTACAATTATTATCATTTTTTAAAAATATTATTATTATAATCATTACAATAATTATCATTTTTTAAAAATATTATTATTATAATTATTACAATTATTATCATTTTTTATAAATATTATTATTATAAGCCCGTAAATTGTGTAAAATAAATAAATAATATTATTCACGGAAAAAAATCTTTACCTGAAATAGCGATAAATTTCACTGGAACAGCGATATGTTTCACTAAAACAGGGAAAGTTTTCGCTATTCTAGAGAAACATATAGCTGTTTCAGATAAAGATTTTTTTTTCCGTATTGAATAAAATATACCTATACATATTTTTTTTTTATTATATTTAATTATTATAATATATTAGGATATATTAATAATAAAATAATAAAAAAATTTTATATAAAAATTAAAATATAATATAAAATAAAATTATAAAATATATTTATATATATATAATATATTATCATTATTTCAGATAATTTCTTATTGCATCAAAATGCAGTTTGTTTCAATTTTGGTTTTGGTAGCACTTGCATTGTTAATGGCTGCTACGCCAGTCCCTAGATATGGACCTATGCAACTTACTGTAGAACAAATGAAGTAAACAAATTTTACAAATAATTACTTATTAACTAATTTAATTTAAATGAGCATTTTTTTTTTTTTTTTTTTTTTTTTTTTTTTTTTTTTTTTTTTTTTTTTAATTGTTTAGAATTTGTTAAAAATTATTTTAAAAAATATTTATTTATTTTTTACCCTATACTTCTTTATTTTTATTTATTTATTTATTAAATAAAAAAAAATTACCTGTTGATTTGCATAAATTAATTAAATAAAAATAAAAAAATTTTCCAAATTTCATTAAAAGTTAATGCAAAAAAATAATTAATTTTTTTCTTCTTTTTCAGGCATATCATAGATTCAGGAAAAAAATAATTTAAAAGAATCAATCTGGATCACGTCTTTCTCTGTTAAATATTATTTTTAAAATATATATTTTTTTATAAAAAAAATAGAAAATTATAAATATATTTTAATATATATTTGTAAAAAAAAAAAAAAGAATTGTTAATATTTTTAATATTATTTATTTTTTCATGTATATTTTTGTGAATTATAAAAAAAAATGAAATAAATTATTTATTATAAAACTAAATCAAATGTTAGTAATTTATTTATTATTTATAGAAAACCCTTATCCAAATAAAGTTCTTATAATTATTATAATTTTTTTTTATTTTAATTATTATTATTATTAATTTTTTTAATTTTTTTAATTTTTATTATTATAATTTTTTTCAGTTGAAAAACGCAAAATTTTTCAATATAAAAATTTTATATTGCCATAAAATAAAAAAATCGTAATACAAAATTTTAGTGTGTATTTTTTTATTTCCATAATAAATAATATTTTGAGATAGTATTGAGAAAAAAAAAATTATCACTTTTAAATAACAATAAAAAAATTTATATCACCGTATGTCTAAATGTTGTTAGAAATTTTTAAATATTAAACAAACAAAAAAATAAAATTTTATTTTCGTTAAAAAAATTTTTTTCACGAATGTATAATAAAAAAAAAAAAAAAATTTTAGAAAGAGAAATTTAATTTTTTTTTTTTTTTTTTTAATTGTAAAACCAAGATTGCATTTTTTTTTTTTTTATTTCAAAATCGTGAGAATTTCGAGTATAAAAGATCGAAACCAAAAAACTATTTCACAGTTCTTTATTTCGATTTTGGAGCAACTTTTATACGCTATTTTTTAATTGCGGTGAGAGAAAAAAAAATTTTTTTATTAAAAATTATTTTTATATTAATATATTAAATTTTAATGATTATTATTATATTATGTATATAAATTTATTATTTAATTTATTATTATTATTATTATTATTATATATTATTATTATTATTTAATTTATTATTTATTTTTTTAAATTTATTTATTTATAAATTAATTTTCACAATATTTTAATTTAAGTGACGAATTATTATTGAAAATTTTTTTTAGCTATTTTTCAAATTTCTTTTAAAGCAAAAAAAAATGAAATTTCTCTCATCAACTTTGATGCTCCTTGTTCTTGGAGTATTATTAAATGCTGTACCAACTTATCAAGCACCACCTCTTAAATCTCCTTCTAACAAAGCATTGTTGTAAGTATTTAAAAAAATTTTTTTTATTGTTTTTTATTTTATTATACACATGTAATATAAATAAATTATTCTTACGTTATTTTTTATTATTATTATTATTATTTTTATTATCATCAAAATATTTATATATTTTTATGTTTCCCTTTAGAAAAATAAATAAATAAAATTCTACTTTTAGGAAATTTGGTGGAAAGTAAAAAGAAATTTTGCTTTTCAACATGTTGCACCATCTACAAGGAATTTTTTAGAAGAAATTTTTTTTTGCCGACATGTATTTGAAAAAAAATTTTATCAAAATAAAAATTATTTTTTATTCAATGGATATTGAAAAAAAAAAATGTTTTCATGAATAATATTGATTTAATAAAAAATTTTTCAATTCTAGAAATCAAGTACTTTATTATTTACATATATATTTCGAAAAAAAACCCAAAAAAATATTTAAAAAAAAAATTCATATTTTCAAATAAAAAAAAAAATTTATTTACACAAATATCTATATTTTTAATTATTATTTTTTATTTAATTTCAAAATAAACGCAAAAATATTTTTAAAAAAATCTTTTCTTTTATTTTTGAAAGAATTTCTTTTTTTTTATTTAAATTTAAAAAATAACTATTTTTTTTTTTGTAACATTAAACTTATCTGGTTGATATATTTTTTTTAAGAAGCCAATAAAAAAAATGTTAGATAAAATTTAATTACTTTTTTTTATTTAAAAATCGTGAGGGATTCTAGTATAAAATAAGCAAAATTCGGTTGGTAATTTCATAGTGTCATTTAAAGTTCGCACAGAAGTTACTGCAATTTATATCTTAGGTAAGAAAAAATTACATTAAATAATTTTGTAATTTAAAAAATTATTTTTTGAAATTTTGTTTAAAAAAAAATTATTATTCTCATTATTGTAAAAAAAAAATTATTATTCTCATTATTGTAAAAAAAAATTATTATTATTATTATTATTATTATTATTATTATTTATTTGATATGTGATTTTTATGTTCCTGACCCCCTACAAAGATTTTTCAATCTCATTTTTTTTTTCGTTTTTTAAACATAAAAAAGTGGAATTAAAAATTTTTTTTTTTTTGGGAGGTCCGTAACATAAAAATCATCTTGTATATGATTAATTATTATATAAAGATTTTTAAAAAATATTTCTTATTTATTAATTAATTTTCACAATATTTTAATTTAAGTGACGAATTATTATTGAAATTTTTTTTTTAGCTATTTTTCAAATTTCTTTGAAAGCAAAAAAATGAAATTTCTCTCATCAACTTTGATGCTCCTTATTCTTGGAGTATTATTAAATGTTATACCAACTTATCAAGCACCACCTAAGACTGCTATGAAAAGTCTTTCTGATCAAACATTACAGTAAGCATATTTTAAAAATTATTAATAGTTATTTTAATAAAATATTATTATTATTATTATTATTATTATTATTATTATTTTTAATATTATTATTATTATAATTATTATTTTTATTATTATTATCAACATTTATATATTATTTATATTTCCCTTAAAAATAGAGACTATAAACAATTCTATTTTTAGGAAAAGTGCTGGAAAGTAAAAAGAAGTTTTGATTTTCAACATGTTGCACCTTCTACAAGAAATTTTTTAGAAGAAATTTTTTTTGCCGACATGTATTTGAAAAAAAAAATTTTATAAAAATTAAAAATTATTTTTTATTCAATGGATATTGAAAAAAAAACATTGTAAATTATATGTCTAAAAAAAAAAATGTTTTCATGAATAATATTGATTTAATAAAAAATGTTTCAATTCTAGTAATCAAGTACTTTATTATTTATATATATATATATATATATATATATATATATATTTCGAAAAAAAAACTCCCAAAAGAATATTGAATTTAAAAAAAAATATATATATATATTTTCAAATAATAAAAAAAAAATCAAATGAAATGAAATAAAAGAAAAATAAATTAAATTAAATTAATAATAAAAGAAAATCAAATTAATAAATAATTCTCAACAATTTTCGTATACAAGAAAAAAAAATACATACACTGCAAGATAACATCTTTTTCATAAATATTATATCATTTTATTGTTTTTAGCATAAAAAGAAGAAGCCAATAAAAAAAAATGTTAGATAAAATTTAATTACTTTTTTTTATTTAAAAATTGTAAGGGATTCTAGTATAACTAATTTCTTTAATTTTTTTTTTTTTTAATTTAATTTTCAAAATAATGAAAAAATATAAAAAAAAAAAACATATTTTTTTTTCTTACACCGAAAAAAAAATCCTCTTGTTTCAAGAGGATTCCTCTTATTTCAATGCATATTTTTCTCTAGTATATGCTGCAAAAGGATGTCCTCTATGGTTTAAGAATATTGTCCTCTATGTAAAATTATTCCTCTTAATTTAAGAGGATACTCTTATTTTAAGAGGAAAAATATCATCTTAAAAAGAATTTTGAAATAATATAAAAATGCAATCATTTAATTTGTATGTCATAGATATAATCTATAAAATTAAAAGGAATAAAATTTGTTATTCCATAATTTACATATCTATTTGAGTATAAATAAATTGAAATTGATTTTAATTTTTTTGAATAAAAGCAACTAAATCTATTTTTAATAATATTTTTATGCAGAAAACGTATAATTCATTAAATTTAAAAATTTATTTTAAATAAATTTTCAAATAAAATTAAAATAAATAAAAATCGTAATAAAATAAATTTTTAGAAAGCATAACCTCAAAATTATTTAAATTTTCTTAAAAATTACTTTAAAAAAATTTATTTTACCTTCACAAATAGGATATGACGCAATCATCTTTGCGCATGAGCGACTTTTTATGGGAAATCCTCTTATAGAATTTAGAGGAATATTCTTGAAACATAGAAGATTATTCTAAATTCTAAGAGTATTATTTTTATTCTAAAAAGATTATTCTGAATATAAGAGGAATGCTCTAGAATAGTCCTTCTGTTTCGTTCCTCTTAAAATTAGAGGAAATTATTCTCATTTAAAGATAGTAATACTCTTGTTTTAAGAATAAAATTCAAGAGGATTCTGTAAGAGGAATTTTCCTCTGAATACAAGAATATTTTTTTTTCGATGTAAGAATTTCTTTTTGCGCTTCCTCGTGAAAGAAGCTTTGTAGTTCTTTCGTTTATAAAAATTTTCAAAGTGTCGGAAACAAATTTTTTTCTATATAGAAACATGTTATATGAGATCCTGATCAATTGTCCGGATGTATGTATGTGTGTGTGTGGATCCCTTTTTTGTTTAGAAGATAACTTTAACAGGTTTTAATGGATTTAGATAAAATTTGATAGGCTCATTTATCATATATTAATATCTCAAATCTGACAAAAGAATTTTAAAAAATACCCAAAAAAAAAAAATTTTATCGTCTTTTTTCCTAAATTTTTTTTTTAATCGAAAAAATTTTGAAATAGAAAAATTTATCATTATATATAATAAAATCGTATTCCTTACGTTAAGACAAATCGATCGGTATATATAAAGTATAGTTTTAATTTAAATTTAAAGAATTAATGAAAGTTAAAAAATCAAAAATTCACATTTTAGCTATAAAAATTTTGTAATTATTTAAATTTAAGTTTTTTTTATGAAATAATTGTATTCCTTACATGAAAACGAATCGATTGGTATATATCAAAATTTAAATTTGAGGTAAATTTAATAAATTAATGAAAGTTAAAAAAAAAATTCCCATTTTAGCTGAAAAATTTTGTATTTATTTATAAATTCAAATTTAAATATAAAATAATTGTGTTCCTTGCATTAAAACGAATCGATATAATTATTGTAAATAATTATATAAATTATATATTATTTTTCATATTAATATTTAGAAATTTCGGTTAAAATATGAAATTTTTGATTTTTTAACTTCCATTAATATTCTTTAAATTTAACTCAAATGTTTATATTATTATTATATTATTTTTATATGTTTATTTCAATGTTAATGCTTTCTCCACGAGGAAGCAAATTTTTTTTTTGCTGATCGTAAAGAGGAAGCAAAATTTTAATGTAATGAACATTTGAATTTACTACAATTTGTTTTTATTTAAATTTAAAAAATCTTTTTTTTTTTTTATTATAACATGAAACTTATCCGGTTGATATATTTTTTTTTAAGAAGCCAATAAAAAAAGTGTGAGATAAAATTTAATTACTTTTTTTTATTTAAAAATCGTGAGGGACTCTAGTATAAAATAAGCAAAGTTCAGTTGGTAATTTCATAGTCTCATCTAAAGTTCACAGAAGTTACTGCAAATTATATATCTGAGGTAAGAAAAAGTTACATTAAAATAATTTGTAATTCAAAAAATTATTTTTTAAAATTTTATTTTTAAAAAATTTATTCTTATTCTCAATATTATTATATAAAAAAAATATATATATGTATATTATTATTATTATTATTATTATTATTATTATTTTAGATATTATCTTACAGCAAAATGCGTGTTATTTCATCATTGGTTCTCATAACATTTGGAGTGTTATTGGCTATTACTTCTGGAAATGCCTTGACTGCAGAACAGTTAAAGTAAAAATTTACAATTATTTTTATTTATTTATAAATTTATTTATTTTATTTAAATAACAATTTTTTAAACTCTTGTTTTCTCATATTTATAAAAAAAATAATTTTTTTTTATTTCTTTCTTTCAATTAAACAAAAAAAAAATTTGTCCGCAATGAAAAATTATTTAAAATTATTATTATTATTTTTTATATATATATATATATATATATATATATATATATATATAAATGTATAAATATCTTGAATGTATTGTGTACATTACCAAGTAACTTTTTTTTTCTCGTTGCCTTTAAATAAAACATCATCATCATTATTATTGAATTATTAAAATTGGTGTACAAATTTAATGATAAATAAAAATAATTATTAAATTAATTAAATTTAATAATTTATTAAAAAAAAAAAAAAATTTCTTTTATTTTCAGGCGAAGGGCACAAGCTGGAAAGTAAGAAGATATTCACAACCATCAACGTCATCTATTTAAATATTTGCTTTAATTTGTGTATATATTTAAATGAAGACAAATATTAATATGTATTATCAAAGAAAACAAAAAAATTATGAATATTTTCAAAAATTGAATATTTTAAATACTATGAAAAAAAAAAAAATGTGAAATAAATCATTTAATCAATTAAATCATTTGTTATTAATTTATTTATTATTTATAAAAAAAAAATTACCTCAATCCAATTATGAAATTTTTTATAATTATTTATTTATTTAATATAAGAAAAGAGTTAAAATAAAATTATGATTTAATTTTTCGTTGTCTCTTTTTTAATATATTTAAATTTTATATTTCTTTTATTATTATATGTATGTATTATATTAAAATATAACTATACTCTTAATTTCAACTATTCTAATTACCTATATGGATTCTAAATTTTGATTTAAAAAAAAAAATACCGATTTTTTATAACTAAATTATTATTATTTTTTTTTTTTTTTTTGAAATTTCGATATGATTTTCTCTTTACTTTTTTTTTTTTAATTTGCAAAAAATTTTTTTTTAATTTTCATTAAATTATTATAATACAAAATATAATTTCAATAATTTTGCAAAAAATTTTAAGAGTGGATCTAATTAATAATTATTATTTAAACTTTTTTTTTATTTTTGCAAAAAAATTTTTTTTAATTTTCATTAAATTATTATAATACAAAATATAATTTCAATAATTTGCAAAAAATTTTAAGAGTGGATCTAATTAATACTTATTATTTAAATAATTAAATTATAAAAAAAAAAATTGTTCTTTTTTTTTAATTATTTTTCAAATTAAATTGTATTTTATTTTGTTTCTCTCTATATAAGTAAAGGTGAAAAAGATCTTTAGTGGCAAAAAAATTTTTATTTATTTTTTTTTTTTGAAAAATAAAAAAAGAAACTCGAAAAAGAAAATTTTTCAAAAATTTATAACACAAAAATAATTGAAGGTTTCGTTTATTAAAAACAATTGTTGGAAAATTTGAATTGACGTCAATATAAATATTGATTTATCAAAAATGAAAAATAGATCAATTTTTTCAAGCACCAAAATAAATTAAATATGAATAGGTAAATTAAATAAATTAAATAAATTAAATATGAATAAATAAAAAAAAATTGTTAGGGAGCCTAGTATAAATATCCCAAATCGGATTAGTAAATTCAATAGTCTCAACTTCCTCATTCAAGTTAACAAAACTTAATTCCAAAATCGTTGGTAAGAAAAAATTTTATTAAATAATTTTTTACAAAAAAAAATTTTCTTTTTTGTTTTAAAAATTTTTTAAAAAATTTAAAATTGAATAAATTTCAAATGTATTATTATAATATTTAATGAAATATATTTATAATAATAATAATAATAATAATAATAGTAATAATAAAATAATAATAATAATAATAATAATAATAATAATAATATATAATAGAAATTAAAATTATATAATTCTATAAATAAAATTTTCATCATTATTTGAAATCCCTTTTATGTTTTTAAATAAATAAATAAATAAATAAATTATTATTATTATTTCAGATACTTTCTTCTTGCCTAAAAATGCAGCTTATTTCATCTGTGGTTTGCATAGCACTTGTAGTGTTAATTATTGCTTTGTCTGGAAATGGCGTACCTTCTGGTCTTACTCCAGATCAATTGAAGTAAAAAAAAAAAAATTTATAAACAATTATTTATTAAATAATCTAATTAAATAAATTTTACTAAAAATAATTATTTTTCAGTCAAATTTTCAATTTTCGAATTAAAATTTTAGAGAATTTTTTTTTAGCACAATTTTTTTTATTTTATAAGTTATTTCATTTACATGACTTTGTTATTTAAAAAAAAATTTCTAATTTTATCGAAATTTAATTCAAAAGAATTTTTTTATTCAATCCAATTTTGATTCCAGATAAATATTTTTTTCCGTTTGTTGATTTGTAAATTTAAAAAAAAAAAAAAATAATTAAAATTTTCCAATATATCGTCAAAATTTTATTTTAAAAGTTAAAAAAATTAATTTTTTTTTTGTTTCAGGAGAATCTTAAATGGAAAATGAAAATAAAACAAAATCAATCTACATTGCATCATTCTACTGTTAAATAAAAATATTAAAAATGAAAAATATTTTTAAAAAAAATATTAAAAAAAAAAATAAATAAAGAAAAAATTTTTTCATATTTTTGTATGGAATATGTAAAAAAAAAATTAAAATTAATTAAATTATTTATTACAAAACTAAATCAAATGTTGTTACTTTTTATATTCCTAGAAAACCTAAATAAAATTATAAATTTTTTATTACTATTATTATTATCAATATTTTTTGCAGCTTAGGAAAGCAAAAATTTTCTATATATAAACATTTTATATATCTTTAAAAGAATTTTCACGAATGTATTAAAAAATATAATCTTTATATGTATATTAAAAAGGAAATTTTTGTTAAAACATTAAATATAAGTATTAGAATATTTATCAATTTTTTTTTTCAGAATTATTGTATTTTTTCATTAGCATTTAATAATTATTTTATTTATTTTTATTAATTATTTTATTAATTTTTATTAATCATTTTATTCATATTTATATTAATTATTTAATTACTTATTTATATAAAAATTACATATATTAAATCAAACTAGAAAAAAATTTGTAGAATCCCGTGTGGAAAAAGCCACGATCTTGCCCTCAAGAGTTCGGGGCCCCCGGCGGGGGCCCATGAGGGCTGATCCATATGGCGAATCCATGAGGGGCCCCGCATGGATCGCCCTCATGATCGATTAGCAAAATTTTCTAAGTCCAAAAGTCAAATATTTTTTCATCAACAAAAAATGAATGTTTCCAATGATTCAAAACAACGAAAAACGCGTTTTTAATAAAAATATATTTACACTTTTTTGAAAATAACACTCACACTTATGGCGAATCCATGAGGGCCACCGTAGGGGCCCGCATGGATCGCCCTCATGATCGATTAGCAAAATTTTCTAAGTCCAAAAATCAAATATTTTTTTATCAACAAAAAATGAATGTTTCCAATGATTCAAAACAACGAAAAACGCATTTTTAATAAAAATATATTTACACTTTTTTGAAAATAACACTCACACTTATGGCGAATCCATGAGGGGCAACTTAGGGGCCCCGCATGGATCGCCCTCATGATCGATTAGCAAAATTTTCTAAGTCCAAAAATAAAATATTTTTTTATCAACAAAAAATGAATGTTTCCAATGATTCAAAACAACGAAAAACGCGTTTTTAATAAAAATATATTTACACTTTTTTTGAAAATTCACCTGAGATGATTCATGATAATAATCATAAAGCATATAATTAATTATATTTTATAAATTGCATTTGATTGGAAAATATAATTTAATATCTTAACTTTAACTAAATGATGTTAAGCACTTTTCTTTGTTAGGTATTTTTGAAGTTTAAATAGCATCAAGAAGTTAGCATTCGTTTTGAAGTAGCGTGCGTAGCGTAGTTGGTAAAGCGTTAGACTCGTAGTCCGTAGGTCGTAGGTTCGATTCCCCCCATGCGTTAGATTTATTTATTTCTCAGGTTTGCGTTTAATCATTAATTCTATGTATGAATTAATTGAAAAATGAAAATATCCGTTAATAGTATGCATAAATTACAGATTTTTTAATTTTTTAATTAATTAATTTATTATTACTTTTAATTATATCCGACAGTTAATTAATTAGAACGTTAATTAATAAATTCAATTTGAGTAAGAATTTAATTTAAAATTGAATAATTATTAAATAAATATGTTATTTATTCATAACTTAAGCTTATTTATTATTAATTAACTTTTATTATTAATATTATTTATTAAAAAACATTATGGCAAACTTGAGGGCAAGATGAGGGCAAACGTGAGGGCCCATAAGGGCGCCCGTAGGGGCACCCTCATGGATCGCCCATGCGGGCGCCCTCATCGATGAGCATGTCGTTTCCATGAGGGGCCCCTATGGATCATCCATATGCGGCCCTCATGGCATGAGGGCGATCCATAAGGGCCCCCGCTGGGGGCCCACATCACTTTTCCACACGGGACTATTATTATTATCAATATTTTTTGCAGCTTAGGAAAGCAAAAATTTTCTATATATAAACATTTTATATATCTTTAAAAGAATTTTCACGAATGTATTAAAAAATATAATCTTTATATGTATATTAAAAAGGAAATTTTTGTTAAAACATTAAATATAAGTATTGGAATATTTATCAATTTTTTGTTTTCAGAATTATTGTATTTTTTCATTAACATTTAATAATTATTTTATTTATTTTTATTAATTATTTTATTAATTTTTATTAATCGCATTTTATTCATATTTATATTAATTATTTAATTACTTATTTATATAAAAATTACATATATTAAATAAAACTAGAAAAAAATTTGTAGAATATTAAAAAATATATTTTTTAGCTAATAGATATAAAAAAAAAATAATTTTTTGATTATTTTTCAATATGAATATGATAAATCACTTCGTTAAATATATATTTTTTTTTTTTTTTTTTTTTTTGGAAAGAAAAACGGGAAACGCGATAAGAGAGTCTTTCATTTCACTATGTAGATACATGAAGGAAAAATGAGTTTTCGAGAATTTTCAACGACACCCGAGAGCGACAAGCTATGACCTCGAGAGAGAGTGTAGAACACTAAGAACGTGAACCTTGTATGTGAAACTTATCGTATCAGTGAAAAAGTGAAGATACACGTGAGAGCAATGATAAAAGACATAATACAAAGAACTCAATATTATTTCTAAATGCAGAAAAAAAAAAAATTATAGAAAAAAATCTATTTTAATATTTCATTTTTTTTTCATCCCGTTTTTTTTTTACTTTTAAATAAAAAAAAAAGTAATAAAAATTTTTACTTTCCACTTATAAAAAAAAAACAAAAAAAAATTCGTGATATTATTTGCAAATAAAAAAAATAATAATATATTTTTATCAATTTTTATTAATATATTATTATATATAAATAATATAATAATAATAATAATAATAATAATATTTTTCTTTTTATTTAATAATTATTTTAGATTTAGAATAAGAAATAATGGAGTGGTCCGATATTACTCATGTATTTCCCCTATATTGACAAATATAATATAATATAATATTATATTAATATTTGTCGATAGTAATAATAATAATAATAATAACGTTCAAAAGCCGAAAGGTATATGAACTATGAATAATAATAATAATAATAATAATGTTTGTGAATAAGAAATAGATTGAAAAGTTAATTTATTATTTTAATATTGAATTTTCTATTTTTATTAAAAATTACTTATTTATAATATTTTCTCATTATATTATTTATGGGGATTTAAATTTCCCTTTGCTAAAATACGACAGAAAAAAAGCTAAATCACCTTAGAAATTATTCAATGTTAAAAAATCTCTGTTTTACTTTAATTCTTATATATTTTCCTTAATATTTATTTACGAATATATTTTTGAAATTTATTTACATAATATTTTGACAGCACAATTAAATTTTATTTATTAAAATAAAAGGAAATAAAAAAAAAAAAATTTTCTAACCTACAAAATTTTCTAATGCCTGCATATGGCCTGCATTAAGAGGCATGAAATAAACCAAAAAAAATTCCTAATTATAAAATTGCTACTTTATCGACGATTATTATCAATTTTGTCACTTTTTGATTTTAATCTCACTTATTCCTTTTTTTTGGGGGGAATTTCGCCGGTATTTATTTAGAAAGATCGCTTTGTTTACTTTTCATCGAAAAAATACTCACAAAATGTCCTGATGTTGTCAAGTACCTACTGAAACAGTGGTACCACCAACGAAACAAAAAAAAATTCCCTAACCTCCATTTCAAAATAGGCGGGAAATTCAAAAAACAGAAATAACTTTTTTCGTTATTATCAATAATACAATGAGTGTAAAAAATATTTAAAAAATTTTTTTTTTCCAAAATTAATAAAAAAAGAAAAGTTACGTTTCAAATGGATATTTTTCCACAATATTGATTTAAAAAAAAAAAATAAAATGAGGAATAAATTCTCGACCATATATTGATGAAAGATGCAGGTCTGCATTATAATTTATTTATTTATATTATATATATATAAGCCTTTTTATTGGAAGATTGTATATACGCAATCAGAGCGGAATAACCTATTTTGCACTCACATACACATACACCTATATATTGTTATAATAATAGAAGTTTGCGATTGGTTCTTAGAACAAACATTGGGTACAAAGTTTATTTCAGGTCTTGAATGGCCTATTTTCTCTTCTTCTTCTTCTTCAGGTTGCAACAAATTAAATGATGAAAATCCGATTTCTATGCGAGAGCAGACGCCCTCGTAAGTGGGTTAATCAATTATATATTGTTCTGCCATTTAGAATTTATAAAAATTTAAAAAAAAAAAAAAACCAAAAATATTGACATACATCTTACTTTACTTTCTAAATTTTGAATTAGTAAAAAATTACTAATTTCATAGCAAAAAAAAAAAATATATAAATTTACCGAATTTTTATTTGTACGAATTTTCTAAAAGGCCGAATTTTCATTTTTTGTCCGAAATTACAAATTGACCGAATTTTTATTAGTAAGAATTTTTATTTGTCCGAATTTCAATTTGTCAAAATTTTTATTTTTCCAAATTTCAATTGTCCGATTTTTTATTAGTACGAATTTCAATTTGTCCGAATTTTTATTTGTCCCAATTTTAATTTGTCCGAATTTTTATTTGTATAAATTTTTTAATTGATAGAATTTTTGTGATACCAAATTTTTATTTGTCCGAATTTTTATTAGTAAGAATTTTTATTTGTCCGAATTTCAATTTATCCGAATATCAATTTGTCAAAATTTTTATTAGTACGAATTTTTATTTTTCCAAATTTCAATTGTCCGATTTTTTATTAGTACGAATTTCAATTTGTCCGAATTTTTATTTGTCCCAATTTTAATTTGCCCGAATTTTTATTTGTATAAATTTTTTAATTGATAGAATTTTTGTGACACCAAATTTTTATTTGTCCGAATTTTTATTAATAAGAATTTTTATTTGCCCGAATTTCAATTTGCCCAAACTATCATTTGTCTGAATTTTTATTTGTCCCAATTTAAGTTTGTCCGAATTTTTATTTGTATAAATTTCAATTTGTATAACTTTCAATTTGTCCGAATTTTTATTTGTATAAATTTTTATTTGTCC